TAATTGAATAAAGATTCAAAGTATAAAATTTCAAATTATAAAATATAAAAATTCAATATATAAGAACCACCGCGAGTAGTATTTATTTAAATGCTACTACTGGTGGAACGCAGATGGAGAAGCAACGAATCATTGCCACTACATCTACGCAGAATCTCGAGCTTTGTTCCGTTTCGTCTCGAGGCCTATCCTTTCGATTGTGACCGCGAAATTTAAAAAATCCATGAGTGTAGCCGGTGGTAAATGTCATGCTCCACTCGTGCTTGATTCATCTTCGATTCGTTAAATGAGATTTCCTGAAACAGATTGATCACATACGAAACGGTGTCTACCTGACCAGAGGCTGTGACAACATGCCCTACCTACTTACAGTTACCAGACAACTATGAGACACCAGAAAGTATGCTACCTATACTACCTGCAGGTCAACCAAACAAACCTGTAGATTCTACACAGGCGCCTCGTTGTGGTGTAATGCGCATGCCTGTGTGAACGAACGGAAAATAGGCGGGCATGCCTCGCCACTCTCAACGGTTTTGAACTTTCTCCGCTTGAGGGAAAGTTTTGGCACAGACAAGGTACAGAATAGATCTATCACTCAATACATTTTTTTGTTCCACATCACAAGGGTTCTAGAGCCCTCTTACCATTTTCGTATCGCTTCTAACGTTACCGATTCAGCATAAAATAAGATTACAACATTAGTAGTGGTTGGAATTGGAATTAAACGTAACTATGAAATTATAAATAAAAAAGTAACGTAATTGTTTATTAGTAGATGATTCATCAAATGCGTGTGTTCTACGTTGTCAAAAAATCGCGAACAGTTCTACTAATATAAGAGGTTTTACTTTTAATATAAGAGGTTTTTCTTACATCTGTCGACTTTACCATCTTTGATGGTTGGGTTGTATGCAATTCTTAAACTCACCGCTTTATATCGTAGAGGGCATAACAAAAATTCCGAATTTTTTACACGATCGGTATTTCAGAACGTTGGACAGAAAAATACATTACGTGCAAGGTCTATCCTGTACCTCGTCTGGGGTGGTTTTAGCCAAAACATCATGACCAACAGTTAAGAAAGGTGAGGACACGAAACGACGACCCATGTTTGCAGATAGTTATTATTACGAGAAATATTCATAGACGCTGAAAGAGGAAAAGAGATGGATTGGACTTTTAACGAATAACCGAGTGGTCAAATAGGTACTCTGAACCGTGGAAATATTGATTTCTTTGAAAAATGTGAACCTTCGGTTTCGATATAAAACGTTTCTTTAAAAGGAAATTATTGTTACAGTTTTTACTTGTTAATATTATATTTCATTTCTCTTAAGATGTGATGTTATAATATTAATTTTATCCCTTTTATTTAACATTGAAAGATTAATTTAAGGATTATTTAAATTAATTGTTCCACTAAATTTATTCCACTAATGAAAAAAAAATTCATATACTTGGTAATGGAATAAGTAATTTGATCCGTTTAAGTTCTTCAACATTTTTAAGGTATAATAAATTAATATTAAAAGTCAGTTTGACAAAAATAAAAAATGTATGGCAAAAAGGATACAATGTGGAATGTGGATCTCAATATCAAGTATTTTAAAAACAATCGAGACTTTTTTTATACCTCCCGTCATAAATTATTATTATTATTAAGATACAGTATTCGTGTATAATAAAGAAAAAAGCGTAGATAATAACAAAAGAAATTATACTAACAAATTATACAATTGTATTTTTGTCTCACACCCGTTTTTTTACCTCTTATACATACACAACATACAGCCTTTCCTTCTCTTCTTCATTATATATGTGGCTTTCGATTTGTTTAACCTCGTGTATGCATATTAAATTGCACTACCTAAAGGAAACTGAGCAAATAAAAAATTTGTTTCCTAGGTTATATCTCTACAGGTTTGTTCTTTTTTTCCGTCAGTTTCACGTATTCCTAATTATGGAAGTGAAATACTCCCTACGATTCATTTAAAACAGCCAAATATTAATAGCAGGCAGAATTCTCTCATTGTATTTTGTTTTTAATCTTTAGTTTCATATTTCGTTGTTAATGTGGAGCTTTTACGTTTTTCAGACGTTCGCGCGCACCGCATTTTTCTTAAACGCACCTTTTTAGAAGTTTCGAAATGAAAATTCCTTTCCTACTTTAACTAAACAGCGCGGTTTTACATCTTTCTTTCTTGCTTGTTCTCTCGCTCTTTTTTACTCGTTTGTCTCCTAAAAAACTATTTCTCATTTCTGTTTAAAAAACGTCTGCTATTTCAGTGTTACGCAATTATCGCCGCTGCGATAGTTCAGCAGTTACAAAATTCTTCGGTGACATAACAAATGTAGCGCTTAATTGTAATATTATCTGTATAAATATTCGAGGCTTTTGTATCTGGTTTTCCTTTTTTTTTTTTCTTTCTATAATAATTTCTCCGCGAAGGCAGGTTCACGTCTCCGTTGGAGAAACATAAGCAGTTTTTACGTTTAACAGTGTCAATTAGTTCACAATTAACCTGGTTGCACCGCTATCGATGAATAAAGCAGTACTCAATTAACTAATCACTTAATTATTAATCAATCGATTATGATATAGTATCGACACAAAAGAGCAGTGATCAGTTGCGTGATCGAGATTTAAGAAAATCCTCCCGAACAAATGCAAGTATTTGCAATAATTGCTTTCGTTCAATGATACTAAATTAAATAAATAAGGTTTACTTCAATATCAATAGAATGGAAGCCAGTAACAATATACATGTCCTATAATACAAGTACCAGTTATGTCATAATACTCAATAATCATATAAGTTCCATAAATATATAATATTAATCTGAAACGTATTACATCTGCTCTTTTTTTTTTTCTCTTTGTTCTGTATAGTAAAATAGTAAAATACAATATTTACGATACTTATTACATTCCTCATAAATACAAAATTAATATTAATCATGTATTACGTATCACATAAACTGAACATCAGAAGACTTACATTCTTATAGTTGCTGTTAAAACATTACTATGTTAATGGAACTAAATAAAAGGGAGAGCATTTTGATTTATTGCAAATACTTTTCTATTATTTTTTTTTTTTACAAATTACATTATATATTTAACTTTATTCGGCTCGTGTTACATTACGTGTTTTTGTACTTTCCCTGTTTTTGTTTCTTGTTTTTATGATACGAGTTACTGACACATTGCTAGAAAGGATTTCCTATAAACTCGCGGTTTTTTCTGTTACCCTAATATTTTCCTCTTTCCTCTTTATAACTTATATAAATATTTCATATGAACAATTCAATTCTTCTTATTCACCAAATGAACCACGCACCACCAGCCAACCAATATTCACCATTATTATATCAACATTATTCAGTTAAATAAATAGGCAAGTTAAATTACACAAAACCTGAATTGAACATAGGGATACCTTTGGCAATATTTTCTGTTAAAATCAAATATTGTCTTCCGCTGGACTGACTTTGTTCTCTTCGATATTGTCAGTGGTCTTTCGATTGAATAAACAAGAGAAAACATATGCGCGCAGGTCGGAATAATTACTATTACTTCGTACAAATTAAATACTTATTAAAAACTGTATAATCATTTAAAACTATTTATCGACTGTTCTTAAATTAAATAACGAACGAAATAATTTATAAAAAATATGCAAGTTACACGTTTTAGCGTGTACTTAAATCAATGTACGATTTCAAAGCTGCATTGGCAATATTTGTGCGAGTTGGAAGGAAACCGGCAATTTGTAAAAAAAAAAAGTAAAAAAAAATGCGTCCAGTCGAATGTGATGTAAAATTTTTAAAAGAAAGTATTTAAATAATTTTAGATATGAAAGTGCGCGTCGATGATCAGCGGCGTGGACAATCATTTTAAATATTGAATCATGTTTTAATAACATTTCCACTTTCGCTAAAAAATGCTCTTATCCTGACCATGCGACTAGAATCGGCCAGTTCACATTTCAAAGGGCGACCATCCCTACAAAGATGTTTATTTAACGATATAAAATTACTAAACAAAAAAATAATTTCAATACATCCTTTTTTTTTTTCTTAAACGATTCACCTTATTTTCAATAAATCTTATGGTTTTAAAACTATCACTTCTTACAGTGACAGTTTTCCAGGTTTAACATATGGTCCTTTATGTTTGCTTCACTTTATGCATTTCTTACTATACATAATATACATGACTGCTAAATTTCCATTATTGATGATTTAAACAGATGAATAAATGTATAACCACATTTGTACAGAAATTTTGTTTGAAAGAAACAAAAACTATGTTATACAAAATTTAGAAAAGAACAGAATAAACGTCTCTGCAAGGCTGACTACACTTTGAAAGTTACAAGACATCAGTAAGCAGCCCATTTTATTATTCCTAGCAGCACAAAATAGTCGTGATAGAAAATAGTAAATATAAATCCTCTCATTTTTTTTCTTTTTAGTTTTTTCTTCTTCTTTCAAATGGTCGTGAATGCTTAAATCATGCTTAACAATTCAGGATTATAATTGTACTCTCAAATTATTATCTATCATTTTGTTTACTATTTTCTACGAAGAATATTTCTTAGCTCGTATTGGAGGTAGGCCTAATAAAGTTTCACTCGTGATTTTCCCATTCTTTCATTGGTTTCTCCATAAGCAACTTTTTTTTCTAATCTTTATTCCGGTAGAACGAGATTTGGGAATAATTTTTTATTTTTCTTTCTCTTTTCTTCTCTTTTTCCAATGATAATATACCGTAAATTTTTTATGTTGGTTCAGAAAAAATGATCGCATTTAAAACTGCGAAATTATAAATTCGATTAAACGGTATAAAAAAATAAATTTCTAATATATCAATCACGATAAACATTTCTGTATATTATTCGTGTTTCATTCACACAAATCACTATATATTCGTTACAATGTTTCAACGGTATTTATACATTCTCATATGCATAATAATAAATATGTCAAACATATTCTTAAAGTTAATAAAAATATATCGTGTTTGCTGTTGAGCTGTGCTATGTTCAATATATCTTTTTAGTATTAAATAATTCGATATTAAATAATACATTTATACAACGTGCTACATCATTAACTATTATGTCTCCATCCTCGTTCTACCAAAGCGTTTGTAAAACGTTAACTTCACAAAGAAGTGTCACGGAAAATGTTTATCAAGAAATTTCTTCAGAAATTGTTTCTCTAGTGGGGAAAATAAAATTTTCAAGTACTTCTAAGAAGCTCCTTATTCGTTGATAACATATTTAACATAGAATGCGTTAAATAAGTTATCATGAATTTTATTATTAAATTCAGTGTGCAACATTTAATATTCCCATGAAATTCAGTGTGCTATAACTTCAAATAATGCATCACCACTTCCATCCTACCACAACTTTTATGACTTCGTGTTAACAAAGACTTCTACAAAAACATGTCCAAAGGACACTTTTTGAAAAGCATTTCAAAAACAATGCTGTTAAGAAACATTTTCAGAAAGTGTTTTCAAGAAATGCCTCTGGAAAGTGTCTCTAGAAAAAGTTTCCAAAAATGTTGGTGTGCTTTAATTAGCCTTGAGCTTCTCATATTCTGCTGTTCCATTCTCATAATGCTTCTTTCCTACTTTGTTACGGTGTTTACCACTTAGATAAGCCTTTCGGAAGAATCTAGCAAAGAGAACGAAGTAGCTGAAGTACATGAGAAGACCAAATGTGGCACATGTACGTGAAATGTGGCAGTCACCCAGGCCACTTTCCAGGTACTGATAAGCTGTAACATTTATGATGCAGCCAATAACCATTTGTGCTAGTTGCAATGTAGTAATTAGCATAGGAATTCCCTTCGGTGGCTTATATCCCATTGCTTTCAAAGCGTAGTAAGAGTACATTACAGAGTGAACAAAATAATTCATTACAACAAACCATCTAGCTGATGCTGTGTACTCTTTGTATGAGAACCATGAGTAAAGAAGAACTGTTATATGGTGGTACCAATGCAGAAAGATCAAAGGCTGCTTTCGCAACACAATGAAGATTGTGTCCCCAAGCTCTGGAAGTTTTGATAGGACAAACATCCACGTCCAGAAACCAGACACACAGTCTTGTTCAATGAAGCTGAAAAAAAGAACCATTATGTTCTTACTGCCAATGTAGTATTTTAACTTATTATTTGTGTTACATGACATGAAAATGTTAGTGTAAAATATTGTTGTACATGAAATAAACTTGTATATTAAATTGCTTAAAACAAATAAATATGATTATTATTTTTGATTTATAAAATTATTGTGCAAGGTATTCGTTTTTGTTTAACATGAAAATCAAAAGATGTAACAAATTCAATATAACTATTATAACAAACATAAATTATTTATGTTAACTGATAAGACAAAACTCATTGTAGAAATGTCAGAATGTGCACAATTTATTTAATGTACAATCTAAATTAATGTGAATAGTTTTTATTAAACTGTTTTCTTAGTAATA